TGGGAGTTCACGTGGAATGGGGGGTTGTTGAAGGCAGGAGAGAGAAGAGATGGCAGCGAGCAAGTGTTGGAGGCGGAACCCTGATTCACGTGAACTCCCACCACATAGGGAGCACCCTCTTCAATCCGACAGCAACGCTAAGCGTAGCCACAACTACAATCTGTTCTCTTTCCATGGCCTCCTGAGCCCCTCGTGATGCTGATGATGCACTCTTCGCCGTCAATCACATCCCGGCATCACAACACCCCTCAAACCACTAATTTTTCACGACCAAGTGGCCCGCCTCATTCTGTCGCTCTGCCCCACCAGGCTCTGGGTTCACCTCTCCGAAATGTAGCCACCACGCAACCACCCCCCCCAACACCCCCTTTACTCACTTCGTTCGCTCCAGCAAACTCAAGCCCAGCCTATCGGCTGGCTTTCGTAACAATATGTCTATGTATACTTATGTATATATATATATTGTAAAACCCACCTTGCCCGTGAGCTTCGTGGCTCAGCTCTTGAGTGTGCCATCAGGAGCCGCCAGGTTTGAACTTCAACTTACATGCCTTCTGCTTTGCTTGTATGGCTGCAACACAACAAAAGCAGTGTTGGAACCTGAACTGCACTTGGAATTGCTCAACGAAACGGCAGCAAGTTGTAGATGTTGTACACTCTACCGACGTGTACTGGCTATTTGTTGGGAATACCTTGGTGCATGGAGAAGACCCTTTGCAAAACAAATGAGATCAAATGAGACGTCTACACATATGTCTTGCTCTCTGGGAAACACTAATCCGGGGACTATTTGGATCATTCTGCTCCTGGTTGATTAGCTGCCCATTTGCAATTTGTCAAAACAAGCTGCAGAAGCTGCAAGCGCTCAACATGCTCGTCGAACATGAAGATGCGTTCAATATCTCGGCAAAGGGGTGCAAGAGGTCCAAAAGCGCAAGAGGTCGCTACTAGGAACAAGTGCATCGCTAGTAGTAACAAGTGCCTTGCTAGTAGTAACAAGGACGCTACTAGGACCTTTTCTTGTTGCGACTGGTGAAGTGGTGACACCTACAAGTATGACAAAGCAAGGAGCTAGCGAACTCTTGTAAGTATTGGGCAAGCGAAGCGGCGAGCAATCAATGCGGTGAGTTCTTGGTTTCACCAGGTTGTCATTACTGTAAAGAAGTCACCAAATACGTGATTATTGTAGCAGTCTGTTGGCAGTTTAAGGTTTTATGCGTGGGTGCCTGAAACTGCTGCTCAAGGCCACGCGAACCAGCTGCGGCATCTCGCACATGACCCTGTTTGTTGCGACAAAGAGCCCGGCTTTGCATCATCAAAATCAAACCAGCAAATACGGATGGCACAGTCCGCTGCATGGTATGACAGGCCGATCAGTACCTTGGGAAACAAAATGCGTTGAGCCTTGCCAGCAGCCTGACCAGGTCCAATGGCCAATGTATTTTCTATCGGTAGACCCATGTGCACCCAACAAAGCATAATGTCTTGTTCGAAGACCAAAAATGAACAACAACATCCATAACATTCTGCACGAAATGATGAAACACAGGTCCTTGCAAAACAGCTTTAAATATGTTATATTACTTATATATTAATTTGCATAATATACAAATCATCCAAAATCCTCCTAAACAGTGCACGGGTCAATGCAACTTCTTGGCAATCAGTGGAACTCCTTGGCAGCTGCAACTTCCAGAAGTCTCCTGCAGTCCTGCATTCTTATGTAATTAATTCTCCTGGGACTCCTGAGAAGAAGTTTCTTATGTTCGTGTGCTTGCGGGTGGAAGTGTGCGATATAGGCAGCAGCCTCTTACGTCCAAGTCAAATTCAGAACTGCGTGATTTGCGCCTAACACACTCTCGCTGGCTCAAGTTTCAAGTGCTTTGACGAGCTTCAATATCTTAGGGTTTTTGTGTTGTTGGAAAATCATTACTTCCAAGTGTGTGTGTGTGTGTTGAACACAGGCATGTTCAAGGTTTCATGGTCCATTTCATTGAGCTCTCTATAGTTTTGTTTATATTTGTAATCCCCGCACATGTCGCGTACCATTTGCGAAGCAGGTCAGTGGCATAGCATGTGGTCCAAACGCTATTACTCCACCCCACCTGACAAACGTCAAAACAGAAAAGAAAGGAAGAACATCTCATGGCGATCGCAAAGCCGACTGCCAAAAGCTATGATATAGATTAATAATGATTAATATAGTCACACCCAAACTCAAACAATTTGCAAGGCGGTCTGACTTGCCACGTGCACAGGCATCCCTTTTCTTGCTGTCTGCGAGCTTCAGTTCACAAATCATCCATTGATCTTGAGCAACCTCAAGGAAGGATGTCTTTAAAGACCCCTCGCCATTCTTCAGGCATACGATATTATCGTCCTGACTGAGTGCACAACTGGATTTGGAAAACCAACGCTGCACTGGGGGGAATAGGGCCTCGCTTTGTTCGCACGTGTTCGCACACTTGTTTGAAAAGATTCGAACTATTGGGTCGACCTTGCCTCCTGGGGTCCCTTCATCTCCGTAGCCAAGCTCAGCAGGAATGTAAATTTCCCACTTGTCCCCCTCCTTCATTCGCTGCATAGCCTGCGATTGTGCCAAGAGATGCGAGATGAAATGACACTCCCCAGCTGCCGTGCGGTGGGGTGCAATCATTTTGGAGCAGTACATAGCACTGAGCAGCGTGGTCAAAGCTGCACTGACACGTTGGCTTGTCGCAAGAAATTTCCGACGAGGGTTCCCACTTGCTACATAATAATAACAGCTGGCAGTATCCGTGCTGGTTGATATTGAAGATATCCATCGTTGCTTCACGAATAACTCGATATCATTCCAGCAACACCAAGAGGCCAGGAGTGCCCAGACTCGGTAGCCAAAATGTTGGCATGTTCCGTCCTTTTCCACACACTCCTGGCTTCAAGAATGTTCTTTAGCACCTGGATCGCTTTCTCATAGGTCAGCAATACTAGCAAGGAGACGTCAGCTACAAGGTGCTACAAGACCCCCTCCTTCCCAAAAAAGGCTGGCAGCCTTAGAACGTTGCAAGGAACATTGTTTTTTGGATTCCATCCGAGCTGCAGCAAAGGAACCACTTGGGAGCAGTGATGAGTCAGTTTGAGAAGAAACAGTGCAAATGTTATCTAATTAATTATGTTGTTGGGTGGCGCAGCGTGGTCGACATATATGAGTTGTGATTCTTTTTGTGGTGTGGGGCTTATACACTGGGTCTGTACCTACGCGGGTGCCTACGCCTGGGCTCCCCTCTCAAGCAAATGCCTACGCGAGAGGTTCTCTTTGTTAGGTGCCTACGCGGGATGCCTACGCAGGGTACTGTCACCAACTTTAGTCACATCAGGTGACTCGAAAGAGCTATATAATCCGCAAGTAGTGGCCCGATGCGACCGGGTCACATCAGGTTCCTGTTTACAAGGCGTTTACAGCTTTGCCACCGATGGCCAGATAGATTTTGTATCAAGCCGATCCAATTACAGTGTGGAAGCAGCAGCACATAAACAGCGCGCAACAAGCAGCAAACAAGCAGCAGAAAACAAGAGGCAGCAGCACCAGCAGCAGCAGCAGCAGCCAAGCAGCCAAGCAAAAGCAGCAGCAAAAGCAGCAGCCAAGCAGTAGCAGCAGCCAATAGCTTCTTGCCTACGCGCTGCTTCCGCGAGCGCCTACGCGGGGCCTACGCGAAAATAGGTCCATTGATTATGGTACCAACAGGGTGCGCACAGTTGTAGCTCAAGAGCCGGTGTGCCAGACCAAGCACGATCAAGCTTTTGACCTCAAAAACCAATGTGCCCCCATAGCTTCGACAAACAAACTTCAAACATCCACTGTAGCCATGTCGTTACAATTCATTTTCACTTTCCTTCCCCACTGGAATTTGCAAGCAAGTGTCAAGTTAAACAACTACAAGCCAACATTATCTTTCCCCAAGACCCTTGAACAACTTTTAAAGAAGTCTGAATAAGAAAATTCAGGCTTTCATGAAAAGGGTGCCTACGCAATGCCTACGCAAATCTTTCAACACCCACCTACGCAAAATGCTTACACGACGCCTACGCCTCAAGCAGAACAGCCTCCGCGACTTCTCAACAGTTCCCTTTTTGTATAAACCTAATCATTTGCAAAAAACGTGGCTCATATAACGAAATCTGTTTTCATGGCAGGCGCTGCATGGTAGAAGAAATAGTGCAGATTTTGTGGTGAAGGGGGTTGGGGGGGCGCAGCCCCTCCCCCAAAAACACACAATACAAACAAATTCAACCAAATAAAGACACTTTACTTCGAGAAATCCCCACCCTGAGAGGCGATGCGGAAGAAGGAGTGCACATGTGTTGACAGACTATTTTAACAACTGCTGCGTGTCACATCAAAAGTATGGCAAAATCGTCAAAAGTGACAAGCAACAAGTGTAGTGCAACATAAATATACACCAATTCCAAAGTACATGGTGCAGCTCCAACTCAACTTGCGGAGAGCAGCAATCAGCAACAGAAACAACAAAACAGAAAAGGAATAAAAACAATAAAGCAACAGCAACAGAATAACACAAACAACAAAAGCAAACACACAACGATTATTTCAGCTTAAGAAACAATTTCAAAATCCGTCAGCACCTTCGTCATAGGTTTGCTTTTGCTCGGGGGGAAGGGCATTTTTGGCGCAGAACGTGGGCTTTCTAAGGCTTCTTTAAGATTGATAAAAAAAATTGACTGTATGACTGTCCGCGTGGCTTCGGAGCTAAGGGTTCGCGATGTCGGTCATGCAGCCCGAGGGAGACTGTATTATTGACATCGTGGACGCGTGTTCTTCCAGGGTGTCTGCTCGCGAGAAGCTTGTCTCGAGGAAGCAGGTGATCGACATGGTGTGTGTGTGGTTGTTGCGGACACATTGCCCACCGCTGCGGCTACCCCGGATGCCGGTATACTTCCACCCCAAATCAAAGTGCACTACGCCCCATTTACCCATTGCTGCTGCTTCACCCAGCCCTACACTGACCCCCCCAACTTTGGCTCAACTTCCCACCCCTGCGTGTTTCCTTCGCCGTCTTTTCCTCCCTCTGCACTTCTTCCCTCTTGAGCCCGGTTAACGATTCCTCCCGGCTCCAAGAGCACAAGTCGCTGCTTCCTCATTACCACACTTCCGCCCGGCTCCATGAGCACAGGTTGCTGCCTCCCACACACTCACCCGCCCGTCTCCTCGCTACCTTTACACTTACACAATTACTCTGTGCGGACGGCTTCCCCCCGCGTAGCGGTGTGAATACACCGCCATACAATAAGAATGAACTCAAATGGGGTGAGTGATGATGAAGGTGAATAAGTAGAAAGGTAGATGAAGTCGACAAACTGGATACGAATCCAATCGGGCGAGGCCACTGCGCAACTGAAGACAAATTTAAACATATACCAGGGGATCCATGGGGGAGTTGAGCCCGTAACCTGAAGAATCACCACTCGTGACCCCACAGCAATACAGTACTTGTCTGTCTGAGCGCATCCTGCGACCTTTCACCTTGAGTGGTGTCGGGGATTGTTGGTGAATTGCCAC